TCAGGAATGGGAATAAAGCAAAGTGAACTTTAAAGTAGAACTTGGAGAACCTCGAGGAGGTTCTACCCCAGAGCTACCCCCACAAAAAAAGCTGTTGTCCCAACTGTTTTGGGGCAGGCAGTGTGTACTCTGGTTTCTTTGCTTGCATGTCCAAACTCACAAGCAAGTTGCCTCCTTGATCTTCTAGCAACATGTTCTTTACATCCTGACCTCTCCATTTAATCGTGTAGTTCTTCGTGTATCTACCTGGAGTCTATTACTCCCCACTCTCTTTATTTAAAATCTGCCCCCTCTTCCCTTCTGTATCCTTCCTCTAGTCCCTAGTCTGTCACTCCCAGCTTTTCCATTGTCTATCTCTCCCTTAGATCAAACCAAAAATATATTGGTCTAATTTGAAGGTAACCCATGTACATAATAGTTCTGGAATAAACCATTTCTATTTCTATATATTTGCTAACTAAATATGGGCTTCCTATCCTGTTGCAAATTCTCTATACTGAAAGAGAACTGTGTTTTCCTAGTGGTGCACCATGAATCCTGGTTTACAGACCCAAACATATGCTCATTCTGTACATGTGTAGGAACAGATACATGTAGATGAGGACACATGTTAATACTGTTAGAGGCATCTATAGGAATTTTCCTTCTGGGACTAATAGTTGGCTGGGAGGAGCTATTTTGACAGGGACTGCACAGGGGGAAGCATAACCAACATTGGTTTGCCATGTTTCCCATGTGCCTTTCTTCACAATTGCTATTAATAATAAAAAGTCCAACTGTGGCACCTCCAGGGACACATTTTTTTGTCCATCTAGTTGGCCCTCAAGCCATCTTCTGGAGGACTGTGTGCAAGAGACAGGGCAGCAAGCAATGTGAAGAAGTAGGATTGCAACTTGTCTGGCTTCTAAGGTAATCACAACTCAAGTTTCAATGTTACATAACAACAGCACTCTTCTCACTTTAAAGGCCACTCACTAGCCCAATAAAGGCACCACATGGTTAAAAAATACTTGAACTGTGTATAAGGTGAACCACATGAATCAGACCACAGCCCATTTAATCCAGTGGGCAGCTGGATTTGTTTGGGAAAGCTTACCAATAGGACTTGAAGTCAATAGCATTCTCCTGTGTTGCTTGGCTTAAGCAACAGCTATAGGACTTTGCTATAAACAAACAAACAGTTACTCTTCTCTCACTGAGAATATGCTGTCTGGAAATGCAACATAAACCTGGGAAGTACCGCCTTTGTCAGTAGGACACTGTGATATAGCCAGTCCAATTCTGGATCTTTTATTTTCTCATGCTATCCCCCCCCCACCCCCGTTTTTAACAGAACATAAATACAAACAGTTGAGATACAATACATATCGAAATGTATCAGTAATATTAGCAACTACAACCCAACTGATAACTAAAAAAAACCAACACAAAAAAACCTTATGCGCCTGCTCCCCAGGAGACCAGTTTATATCCCCATTTCACTTTATATAATATAACAATTAACAATATATAGTATACTTTAGTTATACCCATACCCCCTCCAAAAATTCATATATTCTTGATTAGGCTTACAGCCTTTCCCTTCCATCAGTACTGCTTTTACAAAATGTTCCCATATTTCATTATATTTATTTACTTTTATCATCTCATTTTTAATTTTTATTTCTGTTGTCAATTTATCATTAACCATCATACTCCATATTTCAGTATACCATTCATTCCTTTGTATAACCCAATTGTGTTTCCAATGTTTCCATTACTAAGCTGGCTGCCATTATCAGATTTAGGATCAATTCTTTCTTAACTTCATTTATATCTTGTTTTTCAATCAGCAGCAATAATGCAATTCTTGGAGACATTTCTAGATTTATATCTAGAATTTCTCTAATATCATTTAACACCATAATCCATGTCTTTTGTATATTATCACAATCCCTCCACATATGTTTGTAAGTTCTAATCTCTTTTCCACATCTCCAACAAATATTAGAATATTTAGCATCAATTTGGTTTAACTTGACTGGTGTTAAATACCATCTCCATATCACTGTATATCCATGTTCTTTAATTCTAACCAACATAGTCTTATATACTCTTCTATTCCAAATTTTCTTCCAATGCTAATCTTTGATTTCACCAAATTGATTTGAAGCTTTTTTTCTGTTCTCCTAATTCTATTAATATTTTATAAATTTTGGCAATTCTTTCTTTACCTGTATATTCTTCCTTAATCTCACATTCTTTCACAATCATATCAAATTTTCTTAATTGTCTTTCTTCCTCTTCATATTTTCCCTTCATCTTTATCCATTTTTCTAATTGTATTACATTTAACCAACTTAATTTGGCTTCTACCAGTACGCTCCTTAATTGTGTTATATTTTTAATCTTATTTTTCCAGTGTTCCCATTTATAGATTTGATTATTTTTGGGAATTTCTCCATTTCAACCACTGGTGTTAACAGATAAATTCCTGGCATTAATTGCTGTCTCCATTTTTCCCATACTTCCATTGTATTTCTTAAAATGGGATTTTGAATTCTCTTAATAATCTTTTTATATCCTTTTTGAACCAGTATGTCTCTAATTCAATATCACTCCAAATTAGTTCTTTGCTTTGGGCTATAATATCTGGAATTATCTTTAATTGATTTGCAACCCAATACTTTTTAACATCTGGAATACCCAGCCCCCCCCCTTTTTTTGTGATTCATACTATAGTACTTTACTTATTCTTGCTCTCTTCTCTCCATTACAATATACATCCAATAACTTCTGTATTTCCTTTAATTCTTGATCATAAAACTTTTAATTAGAATCATCCAGAACAAAAAAAATTAATCTTTGGCAAAATTTTCATTTTTATTGCTACTTTTCTTCCTAACCATGATAATTTTACCTTTTCATATCTTCCTATTTTATCTTTTATAACCTTCTTCAACTTCTCTTAATTTTTCATTTTTAATTCTTGGCTATTTTTGGAATATCGATTCCTAAATATCTAATACTGTCTACTCTTTTTAATTTATATTTTTCTTTTAATATGTCCAATTCTTCATTATTGTGATTATATAACATCATTTCTGATTTTTTTCCAATCAGCTTGCAACCCACTGTACGTCCAAAATTCCTTTAAATGTGAATATATTCTCTCTATAGTATTCATTGGATCTTGAAATTTTAGCAGTGTATCATCCGCAAATAAATTAATTTTAATTTTCTGACATACTCCAGTTCCTTCTATCTGTATATCATTTCTATTTCCTCATGCTAAATAACAAGGTCTCTTTTCAGTCAAAGATCCAGAGCTGTTCTACAAAGGCAGGCTTGAGTTATGGGGCAGTTTGCACTGCAGTGGCACCTCTGATCTATCCATAAAATTTCTATTATTCATGGAGGCACCAAGCTCTATAATGCATGCTTTCTTGTTATAATATTATTAAATAAGTGCCTTGGACAGAGGGTTAGAAAGCTCTCCCAGAAGAATGCATATGTACTTCCACTTTTTGTAAATGTTAATCTTTATACTGAAAAGAAATGAAACTTTGCATTTAGCTGCTCCAGATTATCCCTCTGGATTTATTCATATATGCAGGGATAGTTCCAATATGCTTTATTTCTTGCAAAATTCACTATAAAACTGTTTTTGATATTGTTAGTGCCATTGGCATACCAAGTTATTTTATTCTTAATATCAGTGACTTTTAACACATTTGAAAATTGTACCTTTTACTGAAGCTAGTAATTTGGTCTAAGGAGCAAATGACAATGGGGATAGAAACAAGCCAGAAGACATGTTTGTACGTTGGTTTTTCTGTCTACATCCTGGCACAGTTCACTCACATGAGAAGATAAAACCACAACCATGAGTGAAGATGATACCACAAATGTCTCAACCCAATTAAAGGCTTCCTTTTGGCTGCTGTAGTGAAGACTTCCAAATAATTGTGAACAGATTAGCCACAGGCTGTACAAACACATCTGTTCTTGAGGCCCTCCACCTTTTTGTGTGCTGCTCCAAATAACTTTTCCCCAGAGGTCTTAAGGACAGCTAAAGTTAGCATAGCTAATGTAACTGTTAATCACAGTGGCCAGGTGGCCTTCTTTACTGAGGCCAAACCTCTGTTTGAAGGGCTAGTCCTTTATTTGAGGGGCTGGGCAATCCAAATCCATTTTAAAGATAAAAGGAACCATATGAACAGACAATATTAGGAGTCCTGAAGCTGCCCATCAATAGCGAGCACAGAACAGCAGACTGAGCCAGCCCCACAGGACTCCAATAGGGATCTAGACATGGGGTTTGTACCAGCATTACTCAACCCACTGGCATGCTCATAAATGCCTCAGGGTTTTTTGTTTTGCTTTGTTTTGTTCTACATTTTACTTCTACAAACTTTAGAGTTCCCATGAACAAAAGACAAGCGATTTCCTTCTTGTTTCTCAGTCACCCTGAGTGCTACATTCTTGCTGCCGCTCATCATGAGTTTGTTGTTAGGAGTGTCCAAAAGAAATAAGACACATTGCAAGAATACTTTTAAAGAGCTAACATGTAATATTTTACTACATAAAATGATTCTTTTAGTTTTGTATTTTCAATTACCTTTTAAAAGATATTAACACTTTGCTGCTGCATCTCTTGTGTGTGTGCATGTGTTCCACTCAGCAGTTCCTGTGGTAGGGTGGAAAAATAAAAAAGTGAAAAATAAAAGTTCAGTTTTGGTTTTGATGAGGATCTGAAGGCACTTCATAACATCTGTGCAGGAAGATGTCTGTTGGAACAAATCTGATTTGTCGTGAAGGTGACAGTGCTCTTTCTCACCCCCCTCCTCCTCATTTTCTTCCTTTTTTACCCCCCTTGAGATAAAAGAAGCTTTTCATTATGAACCATCATGAGTAGATCTAAAAAGCTTCATGAACTTCAACAGAGAGCCAACTCATCATGACAGAATCCCTTCTGCTTGCACAGTGACCATGAAGTGAAGACATCTCCAGGCCATGTACGCAGTTGGTTTCATGCTGCCCTTGCTCTTTATGATGCTGATGTTCAATAGTTCATGGGCATCTGGTAAGATGGTTTATCATCTTATTTATCAGCATAACGTAAGGTGCGTGGAAACACTTTTCTACTAGATACTATGCAGAGCCAAGACATGGCTACAAAGCAAGGATGCGGCTCCAGGTAGATACAATAGTGCAGGAAGAGTTAAAGGTTAATTTAAACCAGGTCTCAGGCTGGAGTATGTAACATCAGGGTGCAGTGCTGCAAGACAGGTAATGGGAAAGACAAATATATTTTCTGAGCATATGTGCTGTGCCTTTTCTTCAAGCTATAATATGGGGAGGATTAATCTCGGAACTGCTGTCATGACTACTGCTGAGAAGGGAACACATGTTGTAGATAGGTTTGACTCCCCTTCTCCTGGTATAACTTAGGTATTAACTTTCACAATGACACAAAAAGCAGGATCTGGTTTATAGTTAGTTTAAAAGAACAATCTTATTTGTGTCTGCTCAGAAGTAAGCCCTAATGAGTTCGTTGGGAGTTAGTCCTTGATAAGCTCGCATATTTACTCCCTAAAGATGCAGCATACATTTTTGAAATTTACTGTCAACCAGTGCATTTAGTGCTTTGAGATGTCTAGACAGTGCTATTGGTTTTCATATTTTGTCTGAGTAACAATATTGCAAGTCACTTTGGACTTCTTTGAATTTGAGTAAAGAACAGTATGCAGCTGATGCAATGTACATGATACCGTAAGTAAAAAAATTCACAAATGACTAACAGTCTTGTGTTCAGTTTATAAATTTAATAGGATTATAAATGCTGGGCAGTTATTTACATAGCATAAAATGGTTATATATTTTAATTTTTAAAATTAAAAACTAAAACATATAAAATTTATAAACTGGATATACAACTGGTATATGAGTTTGTTGTTGTTGGTTGGACAGTCATGGAATGTGTAATAAAATGAAACTCAACTCTTGTCCTCTTTGGAGGTATAACCATTTGCAACAAAGAAGAGGTCATAATTCACTCTTTAGTCTAAGTCCACTGTGCCTGTAACATGGGATGAGATTCAAAATGTTGATCTCACTAATCTTCCTCAAACTAGTGATCTCCAGATCTGTTGGACTTCAATTCCCACCATACGTAGCCAGATTGGTAGATAGTTGTTGTGATGGGAATTGTAGTTCAACACTTCATGAGAACACTAAGTTGAGGGCATGAAATTACTCCAATGAAGTCACCCCTATATACAGTGCAGTTACACAAATGCAAGTCTAAACTCAACGATTACATAATAAACACATAAAACAGCAGCACTACAGTATTTCTATCATGACATTGTTCGGCTGTTGGCACCACTGCTAATACAGTGTTTTACAGATGATACTCCAAGAGGTCTGAACGCCTGTAGGGCTTCCACAAAATCCACACTTAACCAGAAACCTCCTTTAAAGATGGATTGAAACCCCTTGACAATACGAGTTTGCGGCAGCACAAATACAGTTCTAGTGTGAAACTGTGTCCCAAGCATGAGTTACAGTGATAAAATATTCTTTAGCAAAGGGAGACTCCAGCATGAAATTACTGAAGTAGAACTGCTTCAAGAGGGTCTTAAGCTTGAGCTGAAATTATGGTTTCCTGCCCCACCACAGGAATCAATAAACACAGCAAAGCTGGGGTGACTGTGTTACCATCAATGAGTGCTGTTGTGAACAACTGGCTATGGCCTCCATTTTTATTATTATTATTATTATTATTATTATTATTATTATTATTATTATTATTATAACATTTCTATGCCGCCCTTTGCCGAAACCTCGGCCTCGTGGAGAACGGGTGAGGTTCCAGAGGACTGGAGGTGGCATCAGTGGTCCCACTTTTCAAAAAGGGCAGTAGAGGGGACATGAATTACAGACAGTCAGGCTTATGTCCATTCTAGGAAACACAATGGAAAGGCTCATAATAGCAAGAGATCTAGTAACCCTAGATAAGGAAGGGAGGTTGGCAGCCACACAGCATGGCTTCTGCAAAAACAGGTCCTGCCAGACAAACCTTGTGGAATTCTATGATAAGGTTTCAAGGTGGCTAGATGGAGGGGGCGCGGTGGATGTGGTTTACCTGGATTTTGGCAAGGCCTTTGACAAAGTGCTGTATGATATCCTGGTTGAGAACTTGAGGAGTTTTGGAATAGACTGATGCACTGTCCGATGGATTAGGGCATGGTTGACAGACCAAAAGCAGAGGGTAACTGGGAAATCATTGGAATGGTGTTTGGTGATGAGCGGGGTCCCCAAGTGCTCTGTCTGGGACTAATCCTGTTCAATCTTTTCATCAGTGACCTGAAAGAGGGGGTGACCAGTCTGCTGATCAAATTCGCAGATGATACTAAAATGGGGGCAATGGCTGCAACTGAGAAGCAGTTACTCCAGATCCAGAAAGATCTGGACAGACTATGGAAGTGGGTGGGGGATAACTGGATGGCATTCAATGCAGATAAGTGCAAGGTCTTGCACTTGGGGCATAGGAATGGGTGTCATAAGTACAGGTTGGGGACAAATGGCAGGAAAGCAGCACTTGTGAAAGGGATCTCAGGATACTGGTCAATTGCAGGCTAAACATGAGTCAGCAGTGTGACGTGGCGGTCAAGAAGGCGAACACTATCCTTGGTTACATAGCAAGAAGTGTGGCTTCTAGATTGAGAGAGGTATTACTGCCACTCTATATGACTCTGGGGTGCCTGCAACTGGAGTATTATGTTCAGTTCTGGGCTCCATATTACAGGAAGGATTTAGGCCAGAATCAGTGCAGCGTAGGGCCACAAGTTGGTGGCTGGATAGTACAGAAAACCGTATGAGGCAAGACTGAGGGAACTGGGTCTTTTCAGTGTGGGGAAGAGGAGACTCTGAGGGGATATGTTGGTGACCTATAGGTATGTGAGGGGGTGCCATGTGGTGGTGGGTAGAGACCTGTTTTCCCCTGCAGAAGAGGGCAGGATGCATTCCAATGGAGCAAAGCTCAGGTCATCAAGATTCAAGGTGGATGCCAGGAAGTACTTCTTGACAGTTAGGACGCCAAGGGTATGGAATGGGCTTCTGCAGGACGTGGTTGAAGCCCCATCGGTGAGAGTGTTCAAAGATAGGCTGGACATGCGCATGGAAGGCATGTCATGAGCCAAGTCAGCTGGAGCTGAGGGTCAGACTAGATGGCCCAGGAGGGTCCTTCTGACTCACTCTGTTTCTATGCTTCTATTATATTCTATATATTAAGCTTTCACGGAATTCTAGCAGGCACCATATTTTTCATTTCATTGCCCTTTGACTGTACTATTTCTCTATACCCATGTATCTATATGCCACCTGAGAATAACACCTCACATATCTGAGATGGATTCTAGTCCATGGTAGTTTGTGGCATAATAATTCTGTTAGTCTTTGAAGTACAGCAAGACTTGTTATTGTTTCTGCTGCAACAGACTAATGTGACTGCCCACGTACTACACCTGTTGAAGCCCTTCAGGGCAATTATTTACATAGTAGCAGTGGTCGTACATGCTGTTATTCAGCTAATGAGGCAGGTAAAATATTTGCAAAATGGATGGAGAACACATACCATGAAAACAGGTTGATAGAACTAATCCTGCTTGCAAATAGATCAGGAACTAGAGGCGAAGATATAAGATAATGGATTTATTAAACTTTACAACAGGATCTGCAAAAAACCCTAGCTCTTTAGGGTTCTAACTTTAGGCAACTTACCTGTGAGCTATTAAGGCACTCCTGCCCTGGCCTAGAATGTATTTCTTCCACCCCTTCTCTTAGGTCATAACCAGTACTTTTTTTTGTAAAAAAAAAAAAAAAAGGTGCTGGAACTCATGTCCGCCCTGGCAGTAAGCACACACACCAATTCCAGGCGGGGGTCCCCAGCCAAGCAGCTATCTCTCACTATCAGATAGCAGATAGCAGACACAATAGCAGCCTGCAGGCACTATGTTAATGATGTTTGCTGCTGATCTGCTACTCTTGTAAAATCACTTGTAAAATCCATTGAAAAAAAGGTGCTGTTCTATGACAAAAAAAGCCCTGGTCATAACCATGCAACTGTGGAGACTTTCAACCATGCAACCTTGAAATTTCTCCCAGGGCTCAACAACTTCAAGCGGATGAGATAGCTTAGCTCCAAAAGCCATCTGTACCCTGTCCATGGTTCCTACAACTTTCAGGAATCCTCAGTCACCACAGAGGTGCCTCAAGGTGCTCACCAAACTGGATCCATACCAGATAATATAATGCTCTCACATGCCTGCCAAATGTGATCACACTAGCCTACCTAATCTGTTTCCATCACTACTTAGCGGCTCCCATCAACTGCTGGTCAGATCCAATAGACTGCTTTGGAAGGCCAAAGGACTTTTTGTCTTCCCAGCTCCAATCTCAGAATCAGTGCTTGGGTCTCAGACCCCACCCCCTTGCAGGCAGCAGGGAAACAGCCATGCTGGTATTTCTCTGAGGCTGGGAAAGTGACCTCTGAGAGGGAGAAAGTGGGTGGCAAGGCACAAGAAACAGGGTGTCCAGTTGCCGCTCCAGCCTCCTTCTTTCCTGCTTTGAAACTCTATTGCTAGGCAGTTGAGCGCAACCATCTGGTAAAAATGCAATCAGAGGGAGCAGTGAGCTGAAGATCAGCTCCACCGCTCCTCCCACTTTGCACTGGACGATAGAAACCTCCAAGTCTGGGATACACTCATCTCCATAGGACAGTGTTCCAAATGTTTAAAACAGAATTGCCCTTTTAATTGTAAATGCCCTTCATATTTGGGTGGGGCTGCTACCATCAGCAGCAGAGGAGTTTGGACCACCAGAAGAGAAAGAGCACCACTAATACTTCAGGGAGCTCCCAGCCTCCACGCAGGTTCAGGGCTTATGTATGTATGTATGTATGTATGTATGTATTAAAAGCTTTTCTATCCCGTCCCCTACAGCATGTCTTACGATGACTTACAATAAATAAATAGAATAGAACAGCCCCACAGCATCCGACCATTAAGATACTAAAACCCAACCAGAAGACACCCTCCACCCAACAGCTTTCATGACACACCAGCTGTCCCTGCTTTCTCCTTAGCACCACAAACATTTGTGAGCCACACACAGGCCCTTATTAGGAAATGTCAGTCATGCTCCTGATTCTAGTTCTGCCTTCAGTAGCTGCTGCTGCCTTGGAGTTTAATCCACAGCAGTCTTCACCAGTTCAAAGCACTACCATCTGCAGTAGGCACTGGAAAAGGCTTGTCATTCAGTGAACAGAGCTGATCTTAAGAGAGCTGCAGCCACTTGGTCATGAGCTTTTCAAGAGCCAGACGTCCTTTGGGAGGCTGAGAAAGGAAGGAGATGTTAGTGTCAACTTCATCGGCCCCAAAGCTTTCCATGCATTTGTGAAAGGTACATGTTTGTGAAATATGATGAGTGGGTCCAAGGAAAAACCCTTCTCTGTGTTGTTCCTGGCCCTCCAATTTAGGAGACCTTCATCTCTGGGAAATCCACCTGGCATCTTCACTTTATATGAACTGCCAGGAAAAGACCTTCCCCTTCCAACAGGCATTTGATCTTTCATCATTTGCTCTGATTACACACTTTACTGCTGGCTCTTTAATATGGTAATGTTTTAATATTTTATTCTCACATGCATTGCTCTGGTTGCTATTGTGTTATTTGTTACTCCTGTAAATTATCCTCAGGTTATATATAAATTAGATAAATAAACAAGGATGGAAAGATAAGTGCTAGTTACTCGGGGTGTATCCAGATAAGGCCAGATCCAGATCATTCATGTAACTGGGGGCTGGGGGCAGATCTTACTGTCTTTCATTTGCAATACCTCCTTGCTTTCCCATCACTTCTGTTTTTTATGCTTCCCATAAAATACTCCACAGAGAAGAAAAATAGCTGCACAGTGTCTTTTGATCAGTAGAACTTGCAAGATGTTGGTCTGGAAGCACCCACAGACTTTTGCTATAAATCGCCTGATCTGATAAAAACAGGAACAAATGAGTAAAATCTGTATTTTATTTATTTATTTATTTATTTAAAACTTTTGTATGCCATCCAGGACGGCTTACAATCATTTCTCTGCTTTCACATTTATTTCCCAATCCACTTCACCCATTTCAATAAGATTAGTAGAGAAATGCATGCACGGATGGAAAAAACAATGAAACAGCAACAGAACTAAGACCAATGTTACGTCATCACTGCTAAAAGTGCCCTTGGTTGCATAGCCAGAAGTGTGGCTTCTAGATAGAGAGAGGTGGTGCTTTTTTTGTCATAGAACACATCAGAACAGAGTTCTGGCAACACTTTTTGACAGATTTTCCAAGTTCTAAAAGTAACTTTTGAAAATTTGATGTTTGGTCCATGTGGATTTGGATTGCCCTGTCGAGCAAAGCAGGTCGGCGGCAAAATCATTAAAACGGTGCATGCGGGCTGCTTGTGTGTCAAATCTGATGCATGCGTACTTTGTCCATGCTGGTTGTGATGGCGCTGCTCAGTTTGTGATTGGTCATGTGGTTGTGCACTGAGTACTTACTGTGGGTGGCAACCGTTATGTTTTGTTACACAACTGATGTGTGTGGGTGTGTACAGTGATAGACTACATTCAAAATGTAAATAAGTTCATGAGTTCCGGCACCTTTTTTCTTACAAAAAAAGCGCTGGAGAGAAGTATCACTACCACTCTATATGACTCTGGTGTGCCCACAACTGGAGTATCGTGTTCAGTTTTGGGCCCCTCATTACAGGAAGGATATAGCCAGGTTAGAGTCAGTGCAGTGTAGGGCCACAAGGTTGGTGGCCGGTTTGCAGGGGATGCCATATGAGGCGAGACTGAGGGAACTGGGTCTCTTCAGCCTGGAGAAGAGGAGACTCAGAGGGGATATGTTGGTGACATACAGGTATGTGAGGGGATGTCACATGGAGACGGGTAGAGACCTGTTCTCCCCTGCAGAGGAAGGCAGAATGTGCTCCAACGGAGCAAAGCTCAGGGAACCAAGGTTCCATTTAGATGCCAGGAAGCAGTTCTGACAGTTAGGACCCCGAGAGTATGGAATGGGCTTCCACAGGAGGTCGTTGAGGCCCCATCGGTGAGGGGGTTCAAAGATAGGCTGGACATGCACATGGTGGGCATGTCGTGAACAGAGCTGGCTGGAGCCTGGGGTCAAACTAGATGGCCCGGGAGGCCCTGTCTGACTTGCTCTGTTTCTATGTTTCTATGAAGTATATGAGTTATGCAAAGCCTAATTTCTGCCCCACCTTTCCCTTTCAGGCAGTGAGACTCAGAACTGCAGCATCTCTGTTACTGTTCCGAGAGGCACCCAGTTCAACATAATGCCTGGCACTTCCATCATGCTACAATGTCCAGTGCTGTATTGCACAGAGCAGCCTGCAATGAGCTGGTATAGGTACAATGAAGTCAGTCAGATGTTCTTAATTTTGCAGCAGGAACAAAGGCACTCAGTCTCATGGATAAATGAAAGCACTTTTGTTTTGAATTTTGCATCTTTTTATAAGAACGACAGTGGAAGCTATCATTGTGAAGCTACCATGAAGAAGCAGAAATGGAAGAGCCATGTAATACAAGTGAGTGTTCAAGGTAAGCATCACAAGTTCCTTAACTGAACCATAGTAATAGCAATTATAATACAATCCAGTGCACCTTCTCTGTGCACAAGTCCCATTGGATAAATCAACATTTCATCTGGAATTTGACTACATATCTTTGGCATATTGCACCTTGGTCCTTTCCTTTATCAGTGTTCAAGCACAATGGGGTTCCTACTGCCATGTTCAAGAGATCTCCTCATATATAAAACAAACCACGTCAGTGCGACAGTTGCGTCACTCGATCTTTAGCCTGAATTTCTCCTATTTTCTCTTCTTGAGCTTTCTGCTCACTCGGCCTCTCTTGATTGGCCGAACTGCCATTGGCCAAGCTAGTCTGATGTCACAGTGGGCCTGAGCAGACAGCAGAGTCATAGGTTTCCATATTGAAGTGTCTGGCTATGTTGCATGAACACAACACAAGGAAGGATAGCTTATATAGCCAGTATCATATGCCGCTTATATCTCCTTTGATCCTAGCTGATTACTAACACATAGCCTAATATAAATATTGGGCCAGCTAACATAAAAGTGACACTTATGCAGAGCTTCTCCTTATTGTGCTCTCATGATCTTTCACAGATTGCAGGAATTTTTCATGACGTTACCATCCTTCATGGCCTCTCCCATAATTTCCAAAATTTTTAGCCAGTTTTAGTTTTGGGTTTAGATTTATTTTTTTAAGGCATGGGAAATCTGGTATTCAATTTTAAGCCACATCCAGACTGGTCAAAGAGAAGGCACATATCCACTACAGTAGTTGTACCACAGCACCATCTTGTGGTTGGATAATAAAATACAGACAGATGATGGAGAAATACAAAACTTCCCCGAAAAAAACGTATTTAAAGGACACATTTTTCCTCCCACAAAGAAAACAAAAGAAGCCTCAGCAAAGCAGCAAAATAAACATCTCATGTAGATTAAGCCTTGGAGAAAGGCATTTTTTAAGAAATCAACAATAAAACATTGTTGCAACGTTGGGGGAAGAGTGAATATGAACAGCAAATAATCGCAATATTGTGAGACAGTATATGACAGATGAAGAACTGAAATTGGTACTGGCCATGTCTGTACATTGAGCAGAAAGAGCTGAACTTAAGAAATAGCTCATATAATCAGTGTTTCTGAAAACTTTCCAAATGATGCCACAGGATACTGAACAGCCGAGTTAATGCTTTGCAACGTCTACTATAACCAATCCAAAAAACATCTTCATTTCGTTGTTCTAACGGGTCAGACCAGAAGAGTGGCAATAGCTACATCTTTGAACCCTATAACTTGGATTCTTCTTTTTTAAAAATAAGAAGGACCATTTCCCTCCCACCTTAAGCCCAATTGGGAAAGGGACATTTAATGTGCCTACACATGCCTCTTGTCAAAAATCATCTCCCTCCAAAGTAGCTACTTTTCCCTCAAGTTGGTACCTGTTGCAAATAGAAGCTTCTCAGAGTTGACTAACAGGAAAATGGCCTGCAGGGAAAGTCAACCACCCTGTAGCGTTCTGAATCCAGACCATCTACTCCTGGCTGCCATTAGCGTGCTCTTGTTTGAGGAGGAAAGGGATCATAAGCACAGGCCTTCCAGATGATGTGACTTCACAGCTGCTCCAATCCTGTACTCAATGTTCTGCCTGCATTTTGTGGAAGTGCTTCTTTCTGTTTCAGGGCGCTATGGGATCTAACAGCAGTTTGGGGTAGCCATTTGGATCAGGAAATCAGTGACAGCAAAAGTATTGAAGACTCCTCTTCAGTGTCACCCTCTGAGGCAGCTTTTAACACAACTGGAAGATCCCTTCACCGACTGCCCACATAGCCCATAGTTTGACCTTCATTATAACGCCTTTGGTTTATACTTTGCTTTGTAAACATTGAGACCGTGATGTATTTAGGGTTCCTCAGGGAACATCGTTGACTCAACAAATTGCATGCTATTGTTGCACTACATTTTAATGGACTTTTTAATGTACTCTCTGCATAGATCCCAATAACCTCACGAAATTGGAAAATGCTAACAATACGATAGAAGGTCATGGAGCCACTGAAAAGACAAAGGCGATTCTTCTGTTTGTCCTTCCATCCCTGGGAGTGCTGTGCCTCCTCGCTTTTTGCTTCTCTGGCCTTCACTGTTTCATAAGGAAGCGTCAAGGTGAACTCTCTCATATTCTTCAGTCATCTCCTTAGTGGGTTCTCTCTGACATACTCATATCTTTTAATTTCTCATACTACTTTCTCATGACTATTTAAAAACTTGTTTATTTAATGCTTATGAAATTCATAGCCTTGGTAATAGTAATCCAGTTCAAATGTTTGCTGACTGTCATTTTTCATAAAAACAGGCCTAGCAACAAAATTTGCTGAGCTCTCCTTTGATCCCAGTTTTATGAGACATAGCTCTCTCAGAGACATAGTCATGTTTTGTACAACTGAGATGAAGAAGTTTCCAAAATTTATTCCATCAACACAGTGTGATTTTCTTTTCCTTTCTAGTGAAAAACAAGATGAATTCATCAAGCTCAGAACATGAAATGAATGTGGTAGGTTAGCTTTTTGATGTGTCTATTTAATTTTTCTTCTTCATCTTCCCCTGTGTTCAAGATGTTTAGGTGTAAATGTCATTGCTTATATAGCCAAATGAATGTTTATCTAGCTAAACAGGACAAAAACATGGAGGCAACAACAAGAAGCATGCAAACAGCCCCAAGAGGACTGAGCATGCTCAGTGGCGCAAAATGGCCATTATCAGATTGCATCAACAAGAAAACTAAGTGGAGGTTACTAGAGGACACTGAATAGGAACACTACATACTGTGACATTTTGTTGCAGATTCCAGTTATTGTCATACCTATTTTTTCAAAAGTGGTATGCGTAAAAGCCTTCACCTCAAGAAACTTGCAATAATAAAGGAAAGATTTTTCAATTCATGTAGAAAAGAAGACAGCTCGGCCTTCAAATAATGAGGCCTCTTGATCAGCATTTATTATTTCTATCTGCCATCATGATGCATTTACCTTCTGGAATTATATAGAAAATTCCCTGTTTCCAAATTGGCTTCCAGTTTTAAACAGAGGCAGATTTGCACCTTACAACAAGCAGTCACATGTCCATTGGATTCCTTGGCCTTGGCTCCCCAGACTCCAGAGCATCTTCTTGCAAGTTCCTGACTAGTACACAGAGCATTTGCCTGGTGCTTGCCAGGAATCAAGCCCCACACAATCACCCTTCAAGCAGAACCCTCTTCTGCTCATGTGACTTTGTTTCCACTGCACATTACACAGAAGAAGGTTTCTAGTTGTGCTCCTGGGGTCCCACGAGTCTTTGCAGAACTGTCAGTTCAACTCACTTTCTAAGACAGGGCCAAGCATGAGAGGAAGTCCATGAAATGAAGAGGGACAGATTCTGCAGAACTGCATACCATGCTTTGTGGTTTTTTACCATGATCTACCTGACCAATCATCAAATGGTTTCCATTCTCCAAACTCTAACCTCCTATCATTGGTGTGCCTGCTGTTGGCCACTGTGCCAGAAATTCAATCCCAAGATGCATCTCTCCCTGCCTGTGTGGCATGCCTCCTCATGATTGTTCTGCACAGTTCCCAGGGCAACTTCTCTGTACCCTTCCATTCTTCCCCATAACCTTCATCCAAATCTGTCTTTTAATGTGTGTCTCTTCCCATAGAAATCTCCTTTTCCTGCAATCCTTCTCTGTGTCAAAGCTTCTTTACCCATTCCCACTCCCTCCCATCCCCCTTTCCCTTGCCAAAGATTGACCAGGACTTGACTTTGTGCAGAAACTGCAAAGACCTCACTCACTTTCCCCACTAGTCTTTATTCCCCCAGACAGCATGTGTGAAATATGCTTGGCCCTCCATCTCCCCAACCTCATCTGTAGGCAGTGTTTTCCTGTTTCCTGCAACACCACCTGATGAAGCATCTCCCCCACCACACACCACCATATGCACCTTAACTATCAGGCTTGGCGGCTTGTCTTTTTGTCAGCCGATCTGACACCCTTTTTTCTACAATACCCTTTGTCTTCGTTCAACCCACAGATTCTCCCCCTCTCCTGGCCCCCTCTCTTTCCCTTTCCCATATTCTTGCCCCAGCTACCTGTTCTCGGAGATGGTGTTCTCTCCCAGCCCTTTCCCTCTTTTGGCTTGGTTTTGGTGACCAAAGATACTCTGGCTGCCCATGACCCCTCCTTCATTCCTTTCTTGACAATGTGGGAACCTTCTCCCTGCTCCTCCGTGGCAATGCCTGTCCTGTTCTTCTCCACCAACCTCATTTTCCTCATCCTTCAGCCTCCATTCTAGTTCCTCTTACTCTTCTGCTCGTTTGTCCTCCCATTCCTTTGCATGGGGATGACACCCAGTACTCCTTTCCCTTCCCTTGCCAGAAAATACATCATGTCTTCCCAAATACAAACATCCTCGAGCCTTGTACAATCTTCTTCCAGTCCCCATAATCCCCACTGAAAAGCCCCGCAGTCCTTATTCTAAGATGGAGAAATCTCAACCCCAAAACAAACTTGCTCAACAAGAAAGATTCATCTATATGAAAACATATTTTTATTTCAGCAGCATAAGAAAGATTCTTATTTTCTTTTGCAAAATGTCTTCATAAAAAAACCTCAAGAAATCTGTTCTACCCAAAAGTTGGGCCCCTAATCTACCCCACCCACACACACACACTATAGGATTTTTCTCATGCTGTTGTGTATCCACATATCCAAATACTTTGAGATGAAAATACAAGGGATGACAACTCAGACTGGCATTGGGCAGACTGAAGTGAACAGAGAGCCATATAGAGAAAGGCTGCCTCCAAGATAACTCTTTGGGATAGTGCTGCATGATTCTCTGTAGCTAGAAAACTGTGGTGATCTGTGGCAATCTGCACAAAAACAGATGTCGGTGAATAGGAGCACAGGGCAGCCTGTAGGAGCAAAGCAAGTAGCAACAAGTTTGCTACTATGCAGGCATGGGTAGTAGAGTTTGGATGACTAGAGCCTCCTAGTGTTGCCACTCTTCCTATGGGACTCGGTGGTGTTTGTATGCTAAGACTGACAAAACCACAACCCCAGGTTTGGACAACTCAAGAACCTATCATGATAAGCAGAAACCATAGACCAAACCATTGATTATTATCTTGGATTCTGAGGGCAACAATCACCATGCTGAAATACCATAACTGAGTTGAGACAACATGACTGACAAATGATGATAAAAAACCTCACATAGCTTGTTGTGTCATGCAGGGAATGGAAGCAACATAGCAAAGGCAGCACAGACAAGGGTAGATAGAGGAAAATGTGGGGAACTGTTGTTATGCGTATATAAAGCTTGTTCATAGTTGATGCAGGTTATACTCTGTACCATTGACCCTGCATTCATTTATGTGCATGGAGATTTATGAGGCAAGTTTGCATGATGTTACAGCCCACCCTGGAAATGATCCATGGTGGGTTGGTTGTTATGTGAGTAACCCACAGTGTGCTTGATGGACAACTGGACTCACCATTGATTGTTTACATGTTCCCTCCTCCTCCTCCTCCTCCTCCTGCATTCACAGTTTACACTTAAATGTGAGGGAAATACATGCTGAGCCACCACGTGGAGTGAAAAGTGTACTCTAAAATTTTTAGCACTTTCAAACTTGCTGTTCTTGTGGCAATTTGTATTAGATCAATATGAGGTTTTGCACAAGTGCAGAACAAACAGGTGGATTGTGGAGCCAAGTTCCACCATATTCCTTAAACAGGTATCATTTTTAAGAGGCAGAATTTTCAGACTTGTAATGTTAGACCCTCCCCTGTGTGTACATTAAAGAAGCACTCCCATCCTTTAATTTAAACTCACATTAATAACATTGACATCTGCATCTATGTACATACCCAGCTGACTGCTCCCAACTATAAATTATTGTGTGTATGTTTTTTTAATTAAGAAAGGCTGCAGTGGCAAGCAGCATCAGTCCCAATGGCTCCACCACCTCCTTGCCAGCCCACGTGTTGCTACCAGGTCTATGTACCACTGCCCACTACCCATGACCATTCTCCAGGTGTCATTGGGACCTTCCTGGTCTGCATGACCCTGGATACCAGCCACAAGGTCCCACACTTGCACCACTGAGACCTGATTGACAGGACTTGATAAAAATGCAGTGGGAGCAAACGAGAGTGTGGTTTCCCCCACTCACCTAATCAAAGGGAGTGTAGCAAAAACACATCCCTGGATATTAGTGTGACAGCCAAACTCAGAACTCTGGGTTGTTGGGAAATGAACAATCAGGAGTTTGAACCCAGAGGTTGTTTGTCCTCAACAAGCTGGAGTTTTTTGTCTCAACATCGCAATAAACAGGTCAAGGATGAAGCATCCCTGGGTTGTTTGTGATAATAGGAGTGGGTGGGAGCATACTTTCTCCCATTTGTGTTCTCAGTAAGCTATGGTTTATTAAGTGTGTTTTGTGATGATGTGTGACCTCAGTCGCAGTATAGCTCCATCTTAATGTAAACACAGTTCTTCTTATTCAAAGGTATTCTCTAAGGGGTTCCAATAAAAGTTTTCCCATATCTCATTTTTATGCTATTTTGAATACTATTTTACCTGATACCGGAGCTGTCCATTGTATTTGATCTGCTGTTGCTTCTCTTTGTTCCCATCTAGTCGGTAAAATTATTTTGCATGCCCTGTTTCTGCTTCTCTGTACAGTTAAGCATCTATAGAGATGTCCAGAGTTGCAATGACAGCATTCTTCATATCTCTGATGAAACAACTGTGTCTTGCTTGCTACAGGTTCTGGATGGTGATGCTGTCTATGGCAATCAAGACATTTGCAGGAAAGCCACACCAAATCCAACATGCAATGAATCGGTTACCAGTGCACACCAACTCAAATCTGAAAACCAGGATACCCTTGTCTATGCAACACTCAGCCATGGGGAACCTTTGCAGAAAAGTGAACCTTTGCTAGAAACAGTATTCTCAGAATATGCAACCATTGGGATGGAGCAATAATGTACACAACTGTTTAGCATCATGTTACATCTTTCACTGTGGCCCAGGAAGCACTGCTGTGAACATTAGTAGGTTCATGTATATCACACAGTCTATTTCTGCCAGCAACATTCTTTTGGTGATGCTTATTTTTCTGGTATTATCATAAACATAACAAATGAATCTCCTATAGGGAGGGAATTTGTGCATCACCAAAAAAAGAGCAAGTGAATCACCAAAAAGCTGGAAGAAAGCACTATTTGCATATGTTAGTTTATATGTATAGACATAAGTTTTGGAGGAATTATAGAACAGAACACATTTCACCATAGCAGGCAGGAAGATGGTGACCTGTGTGTCTGCCATCCAAATGCTTTCTGTGGATAGGCAACTTCAAGGCCTCCCCCTTTCTTCTGGATCTTCATATTTAAAACAAAATTGGACAGTCCTTCATAGGGTTGACAGACTGGATTTCAGCTGAAATCGTTCTGATTGACTGGATTGTATCATCTCTTTTTCATACATTTCCATGCAGATTGTGGTTTCCACAAACCTTGATCTAATCATACTGCAGCACTGGAGGGTAGCTGAAGCATTCTTTGAAGTCTACAATGCTCAGCAAGAATCACAACAACAATGAATCAAGAAAGTATCATTATGAGAAACTGCAGCTTCCGTCATTTTGTTTGCATTTGCTGTTCACTACAATGCTGTGGGAGAGCTTCAGTGGACAGAATGAATGTAGAATGTAACTATTTTCTGAAAAGCAAATACACAGAACTTTATTTTTTCATCTCATGGATGACACCCCTATCTACAGTGAGGGATACTGCTGAATGGTACGGCCTAGGCAATGCAAACCCAGGAACCAGGGACCAAGACAAAATAATGGACAGAAGGACTTTGTGGCTTGGGATTTGTCCCTTCAAGGGTAAGCAATGTGGCATCTGAAGGCACAAATGTTCCTGAGACACCTTTTGGGGCACTCACCAAGTTGCCCTACTTCTCCCATTTTTTTTCCTTTAACACATGGTCTGCAAACTACGGCCCGCAGACCAGATCTGGCCCGCCATGCTGATTTATCCAGTCTGCCTCAGAGCTTTTGGACTTACTTGGAGAAAATGATCTCTGAGTGAGTCCAAAAACTCTGAGCTGGCGCAGACGTACTCAGTGGAGAGATGGACGCAATTGTGGTCGTGCTCATGCAAGGAAGACGGGCATGATCGCAGTCATGCTTGGAGGGGGGGAAGATGGCCATGATCAGGCTGGGGTGGGGGGAGATGGTCACGATCATGCCTGCTGCCTCCTTTCAACTGGCCCCCTGTTGAAAAAGTTTGAGGACCCCTGCTTTAACATATTTCTCACATGCAGCTGCGATTGCTGTGAAATAAGTTTCTTCTCATTTTGGAAACTGTAGTAATTCAGTGTATCTCAGGCCACACCTCTTACACAGGATACTTGTCCTTTGCCTCACTTCCCATGGCAGCCATTTTGTGGTGCTGCCCAGAACAGTTTTTCAAATTGACAGGTGTGCCTATAGCCCAAAACAGCTGACTACCCCTGGGCTTTTGTACATAATATAGTAATGAACTATAACTAGGATTCAACTGGGAAAAGATGTATACAATGAGCTTTGAATGGACAGACAAATGGGTGTTACAGCACTCATTGTAATTACAGGTGGTAAAATGACTCTCAGCATAATTCATGTATAAGATAACATGGAGATGGCTAGTGAAATTCTGGTTTTCCAGTAACTCTCCTTATATTTTTCTCAGCATGTTAGATTTTGCTGCTACTCTAAAAATACCATTGCTCCTGACCCTGGAAATTGGCTGGAGACCATATTTATACTTCCCTTCTCAGAAGGAGCTTTGCAGTCCAATTTTGTCTCTCATTCCTGGGAAAATAACTCTGCCAGATCCAAAAATTAAAGTGTTTGGGAGTAGCATACTCTGATTGACTTTGAACAGAGAAAATTGCATCTTGCAATAGGGAGACACATTTAGAAGCCTTTACAATGCATTCTTCTCATATGAAACCTTGGTTCCAGTTCAGCTAAGTCCAGGTACTATTGCTGCGACCTTTGTACCCAAATGCACAGGAGTTCCAGGGTTTCACTGGAGGGAAAGCCTTGAACTAGGAACCACAAACTGTGTGTCAACAACTGAGGTGGACCTTGGAATAGCCTGGCCAAAAAGATGAAATTCATCACCAAATCAAGAATAAAAGCATAGAGTTTGTATATGCTAATTTATACATTTTTAGATGCTAACTGAGACATTATTATTTTACTTTAGAGAGCAATCCTACAATCCCTGAGAAAGTGCCTTATGGGCTATAGGAAGTTCCCCCATTAAGGCTGTAGGCACTGCAACAAATGAACAGAGGGGGGCTCTGAACTTCATCTCCTCATTGCCACTGAAGAAAGAACTGTTCCAGCTGGGTCTCCAGGTTGCAAAAGCAGCCTCAGAGGGAAAGAAAAGAGGGCATTCTGGTTGGGTGGGGAGAGGAAGGGAGAGAAGCCAGGATGTGACTCAGTACACTCCCTCAGGATGGACTCTGAGGCCCGCCTGGAGTAAAAACATTTTACAAGAAGATGAGGAAGGAACAATCACTTCTGACACTCCTCCTTAAAGGAGAGCTAGACTGCACCAGCCCTCAAAGAGAGGACACCTTCAAATAAAGTACTGTCCTCTTCAAATAAGGACACACGGCTACCCTATGTGACCTAATGTCATCATCTGAGAATAGTATTAGGAAAGAGGAGGTGGAAGACTGTTTACACCATTAGCAATTCCATGAATATTTTAAGTAAACAGTTGTGGGAGCTTTGGACCTGAGTTATGGTGATAAAGTTAATGGGGCCGAACCGTTTGCTTCCCACTGTAGTCCTGGTCTGGATCAGCAGCCCTACATCTACTGTTTGCATTTCCATTTGTATGGGCAGAAGTTCTTCAGATCACAGGGCTCCAGTTTGGATCAGGTCTGCATCATGTGTGGAGAAGTGTAAAATTACATTTTCCTACTCCTTGTTTAAGGTGCTGATCTGGATTAGAGCCCCATGCCTGCAATTTCTGAAAAACAGCAGCTCAGTTGTTTTTATTGCAAACAGCATCCTACCTACTTTGCCTCTTAAGAGAGGCCTTGGAAGTTTCTGTTCACACATTCATAAAATCATAATGCTAGCACTGTGCTGATTTTTTTCTATCTCAGCTCTTGCGAACACAAACAAAAAGAAATTGAGCTAAAATTGTGGGTAGAGATGAGAATTTCAGAGAACTCTTTAATGTGCAGGCCTCTGGTGCTCACCCCACTGTATGGAGAAGTGGGGACTGGGGTGTTCTTCATTTTACAACCTTCATTCAATCTGTGCTTTTGATTCTCTCGTGCTGCTGATGGTTTGTGAACAGTCCTGAAGAGGCTCTTGTGGTTCTCCAGCCTGTTGACTGAAACCTGAGACAGACATTTCTGCTTTGGTTTGGTGTTTAACAACAAGAACAGCAATAACTCATCAGTTTGCAAGCCCTGAGATATTTTTCTAAGCTTCTCTATTTTCCTGTGAAGTAGGCAGTGCATGACCTCCCCTTTTTTTAGGGAAATGAAAGTGTTTGTGAAAGTGTAGATTTCAGCCCAATGCTAGCTTACACCAATATGACATAGTGTAAAGCTGATTTAGCATACATCTCCCCTTGTCCCTGGGACACTGGAGAAGATCGTTCTCTTTCATGCTCTTATTGCTTATGCCATTGAAACCCATTGAATGAGCTTCAGAAAAAGAGCTGTATAAATAAAGTATTTGCAGTGGGATCCACGGAACAGTGCATTGTGGTTATGTGTCATCAAGTCATCTCCAATTTATGGTGACTCTATGGATGGATGCTGTGCCATGGAACATTGTGGATATGCCTAATAGTTTGTTTCAGAACAAGCAAAGGAGGAGTATGATGGACTATGAATCATGCAAGCAGTCCTCTGATAATACATAACAGGGTAGTGCAAGCTGCTGTTAATAGTCACTGGTGAGCCAGCAAACATATTGAGGCACTAGCATCTAACTGACTAGATCTCTATCATGTGTTCAATCAATTCTGATTAATATCGATAACTTGGAGTGCAATCCTATGACCTCCCAATATTGTCTGAGAAGTCACAGGATTTTTTAGAAAATCAGCCAATGGCTTACCTCCGCACAGCTGGCGCAACCCAGCCACCAAGACTGCAACTGGGCCTCAGAGGGGCAACACGGGCATGGCAGTGGAGGGAAGAAGCTGGAGCGCTGATATTGCACCAATTCCAATTGGTGCCCCAGGCTCCTTCCCTCCCCCTCATCAGTGCAAGGTCAAGATGGCTGAAAAACATTGATCTACATAAAATGCAATGAGTAAGGCATGGTGATGGCAGAGATCACTGTTCCTTGTGCCTTACACTGAATACTTGTCAGCCTCTGAATTTGTTGGTTTTGGAGCATCTGCCACAGGGGTGATAGTAGTCCCAGCTTCAGAGGTCATATGCCAGTGAGTATTACCAAGCTAGCTAGAAGAGCTCTTCTTATTTCCATTTATTCATTTATTACATTGATATCTTGTCTTTCCAATCTGTTGTCCAAGCAGATCACAATAGAAAATCCCAAAAGTCAAACATAAACAATAACACGAACAAGGAAAGGCCCAAACAGGCACCACTTTAAGGACTTCTCTACACACAGCATTTGTCCTGCAGCTTTATTGAAGCTTCCTCCATTTTCATTGTGGGAGGAAGTCAGTGCTGTTCACATACGGTTCCCCCCCCCCCCAGGGTTTAATTTCTTTGCCTTCCTATATGTGTTATGAAACAATTGCAAGATGGCACTGCAGTATAGTGCAATTGTGAAAAATTCACAACCGGTTTGAAGCATTAGGTGCATGATAGAATACCTAAATAATAATGCCTAATAATAATAATAATATCTAAATACCAAAAGTAATTTGCTGTAAGAAAAGGGTTGCTTGCTGGCACCTGAAAATAAGCTGCACAGATGCAAGGGCACCTGCCTGGGAAGGGCTCTTTATCCCCAGTCGCCGTGCACCTCAACTCTGAAGTCAGGGGCATCAGATCATCAAAATAAAGGAAGTTCATTGACAGACTACCCAAGAGTTTCTGGTAATAAGATGAAATGAAAATGTTTATAATAACTTCAGACTACTTTCAGTACATATTTTCTCTAAGGAAGTAGAAAACCATAAAGAAGTAGCACATTGGTTTAAAGACTCATCCTTTACCTTTGCTATGACAAGCTCATTATGTAAGAAAACCGGAAGCACGGCACAAACTTACCACAAAACCATCTAACTGCAGAGGGAAGAATGCTATCTGCAAATGAGAGTGGGTTGTGCAGTTAACG